TATATATATATATACCCTAAAGGTATAAATGAGCCAAGTCGACTCATGAGCTGACTCGAAATTGACTCGATAAGTGGCTCGTGAATTTAGCTCGAAGAGCTAGCAAGCCAAGCTCAAGCCAATCGAGACCCAACTCACGAGCTCGTGAGTCCGCGCGTCTAAATAATAATTACTAAAAAATTATACTTAAAATATATTAAAGTTTAAAAAATTTTCTTTAAATTATTAAAAATATTAAACAAATAATATTTTATATTTTATATTAATTTATTTTTATTAATTATCTTATAAACACTCATTTTATTTATTATCATTATAATGCTAGTTTAAATTTTTTTTTTTTATCACATGCCCAACAAGTCAGATCAAACTAGAAGAATTAAGCTCAAGCTCAACTAATTAATCAAAATCAAGCTTAAATTAAGGGCGGCTCGAGCGACTCATTTACACCCCTAATTACCCTAAGATGTAAATGCCCACTCAAGAATCGCTTGGCATATGCAGATGGCATACTCAAAAATGTAACACTTGAAGCTTCACTTTTTTTTCAAGTGAAAAAAATGTTTTATTAATAAAAGCATTAATTGCCTATTAAAAATTAATGGGGAATATACATACATATCACACAAAGCTTATATATTTACATAGCACTCAAAATTTAACATCATATCAACAATATCATCATCCATTCTTCTCATCAAATTAAGCCTTTCCAACAATTTTTCAATGTGTTAAAATCATGATAATTTCATAATATTTGTTGCTTTATCCCGATCAATTCTCATTTTAAAAAATCTTATTGACATTTTCCAAGTCATTCATGTTAAATTCCTTCGAAAATTATCGTGTAAGATTGTCGATTATTTTAATATCAGCCCTCGTAATTAACATGTAATCAACATATAACAACAATATGAAACAATTTTTTTTCTACGTCATTTACATAGCGACAATGATCAACATATAAATGTTAATGTTATGCATGAATATTAAGCTTTGGACACCATTGCTGTAGAGCTTACCTCAAATCATATAGGCTTCTGTTGAACTGTTGGACTATATATTTTGTCTTTATATAACATAACCTTGAGGCTAAACCATAGAGATAAATTTCTTTAAATGGCTATGCAGAAAAGCAGTTATAACATCCATATGCAAGTCTATCATAGCGACAATACTCAAAACTAATTGTATGGTTGCTAGTTTAATTACAAGTGAGTATGTTCAGATAAGCTGCTTACTCTGATAAGCTGCTGATCGGCAGCTAGTTCGGATAAGTTGGCTGGCGATTTGGTTTGTGCGTTTAGAAAACAACAGATTTGCAGTTGTTTTTAGATAATTGATTATTACGCCCCTGATCTGGACAAGTTGTCTAACTGTTTGATTTATGCGTTTGAAAAACAGCTGATTTGTAGTTGTTTCTAGATAAATGACCATTTTGTCATTTTGCAGTCGTGCTATTTGCAACAGAATGATTATGGTTATAAAGATAAGCAGCTTACTCTGATAAGCTGCTGATCGGCAGCTAGTCCGGATAAGTTGGCTGGCGATTTGGTTTGTGCGTTTGGAAAACAACAGATTTGCAGTTGTTTTTAGATAATTGATTATTACGCCCCTGATCTGGACAAGTTGTCTAACTGTTTGATTTATGCGTTTGAAAAACAGCTGATTTGTAGTTGTTTCTAGATAAATGACCATTTTGTCATTTTGCAGTCGTGCTATTTGCAACAGAATGATTATGGTTATACATTTGATAGTTTAAAACCCAACTAATATAGCATGTCATGAGCAATGTTGTCCTGTAGGGATGTCATCGGACCCCGATCACTATCGGCAGTGGAATCAGTCGAACTGTCTGCCCACTTGAAGAAGTCACCGTCTGCTATGAAATGTATTTTGGGTTATAAACTATCAAATATATAGTCATAACAATTTTGTTGCAAACAACACAACTGCACAGTGACAGAATGATCATTATCAAGAAACAACTGCAAATCAACAGTTTTTCAAACTCACAAAGCAAACAACTAGACAGTTTATCCAGATCAGGAGCAGAATGATCATTTATCCAGGAGCAGCTGCAAATCAAATGATTTCCAAATGCACAAACAAATAGCCAGCCAGCTTATTTGAATTAGCTGTTGATCAGTAGCTTATAAGGATAAGCAATCAGGACAAGCTACAATTGCCCCCAAACAGACCCATAAAACGGAGAGAAGCTGCCACTAATTTCTTAGTAAACTGCAACTTAGCTGTTAAGAAACTTACAATGTTAAGAAAACTAATCATCCTGGATTATGATTACCTCTTCAGCCACAGCCCAGCAACAGTTGCCCGGCTCTTCTGCGCACGAATGGGGACAGCAGTTCTGCATTGCAAAAATTGTCAAATTTTCAGCCTAAGAAGCTGAGAGAACTTCAATCAAAGAAAGAAAATCAATCTTCATGTTCAATATAGGAGAAGGTAAATCATTAAGAAAATCTACCACTAATAAAGCCGCTACGTCCCCAATTCTCAGCCATCCCTAAACAAGGCTGCTTGGTCAAGAGTAAAAGGCAAGGAGTCGAGATTTATGTGATGCGAAAAATACGAGAGAGAGCACTTGAAATATTTGGGATGATAGCTCTGCTGAGAAGAATGTAGGCCTGAGATAAATTTTATGACCAGAAATTCTTCATTCTAGGTAGTTTGATTAATGAATGGGCGGTACTTGAGGAAGTCGGCCTATACATTACTCTGTTAAAGAGAGAAGTTTTCAAAATAGAAAGCACGAGCATGGGCATGAGATATATTTCCTAAAATTATGCGGGCCAAGGAAAATCCCAAATTATTTTAGTGGGGTCATGAAAAATAGCAACTAAGATAACAGAAATTTCAAGATTATTAACCAAGTGAGCATAATATATTTGGACACTTGTCATTTTGAAAACTTCAAGATGTCAACGTGTCCTAGAGGCAAAAAAATTGCGTAAGTAACACGTACGCAACTCTGCGTACGTCAGTGTTATATATAGAGTACAGGAGGGTTATATCCGCGTTATATCCCCTGTAACCTCAATGTAACTTACATGCAGCTCTGTGTACGTCAGGGTTATACAGAGAGTGCAGGAAGTTATATTTACGTTATAACCTCTGTAACATACCTGTAACCTACCTTTAACCTACCTGTAACTTACAAATATATGAAAACAGAGCCGTGAAACTTAATAGAAGGTACAGGTAGGTTACATTGAGGTTACAAAGGATATAATCCCCCAGTATCCTATGTCAAATTTTTTCTGTCCTAGAGGGGAGGCATCAAAATAATGGAGTTTGTCATAAGTACCGCTTGAGAAATAAAACGCTAATGACTCAAAAGTTAATTGATGATATCAAATTTGACATTGGCACCAATGGCAAAGGAGGATTTTGACTCATTGAAAGGAGAATCAAAGAAGTAATTTTATCATTATAATTTCTAAGTCGTGTAGTTGACAAACCTTTGGAGTTTGGGCTAGTGATGAAGAGTGCAATATTTTGAACAATCACCGGAGCAAGTGCAAGGGAGAAGTGCAATGGCACATGAGCTAGAGCATGGCGGCACAACGAGCACGCAGGCTAGAGCATGGAAGCACACGAATGACTATTAGCAAACAAACTCAATGCAAACTCGTAAGCGCAATTAAGGTGAGCTTCTAAGCGTACAATTATGACTAGCATGTGAATGCGGTGAATGGGTGGATCAAACAAGGTGAGTGAGCAAAGAAAGAAGCGAGCGCATTTAGTACAATGAGGGAGGGAGCACGTAAGCAAGTGTGGCATGCAAGTATGCACAACTAGGGTTAATCGAGGAAAAGAGGGTTGGAAGGGAGCTAGTACTGATATGGCTCTAATCCCAATTTAAAGGAAAAAACTAGTGTCTTATTAATTCAATATTGTTACTCATAGATAGGCATACATCAAGCGAACAAAAGGAAGATAATACTGCCTTCAATTATTAGGATATAAAATAGTACTAAAAGCATATATTTTATTCTAGTATTTTTTATGATATAACTTTCCAATCTAGCATTTTCCTACAATAAAAACTCAAAATACCACCAAATTTTCAACTGCAATTAAACAAGAAAATATCACCAACTAGAACCTTCAAAACCACTCACACTAAGTTAACTAGGTAAAAAATGCATTTCTAATACGACTCACTACTAAAATAGAAATATTACATCCATGAGTAGGCAAATACACTCGAACAAAGATGGCTGTAAAATAAGAAAACAATATTCCTACAATTTCTCATTACTCAACAGGCTAATTTTTTTGTAAATCATGAATTACCAAAGAGACATTCTTCCTACTCCATAGGTAAAGAAAATCAGAGCAAACTTATACAATGAACCTAATAACATTCAAAGATATATATAAGTACGCCAAGAGAAAGCAACAAGACGGGAACAGAAAGAAAGAGAGCAAGGGAGGGAAGAAAGGTAAGGAGAAATGTCTGCTAGTGAGAAAAACATGGAGAGAGAAAGAAAAAGATCCATCTTTAACTCTATTTTAATCACCACCATAGGAAGCGCAATGTTGGCTACGAAATGCATATAGGCTGAGATGGCCGGTTTAATCAAACAACATCAAAAGCTGCTTACTGATTCCTCATACTTTCTCAATGCATGCTTTCTAGGCCTTTATTAGGATTCATTGATCTAAATGCCGATGACAACTGCCACAACATCCCAATACATAAGCATCTTTTGGAAAACTTCTATGTTTCAATTGGTAGCAAGCATAATGTCCACCAAAAGCAGCAAACTTTACTATTTATAAAGCGAAATATACAAGTACGATGATATTTTTTTAAGCCCATTTTTTTCTTATAAATGGATAGAGAAAATATTACAATAATTTATTTTTTTATTCAAAGATAAGCACAGGCTTGAATTGTTTGCAAAGTTTATACTCAAAAGAACTGTTGTTCCTGTGCTGCCTGCTAAAATAATGTTGTTATTCTCAACTATTATAGATTATTCTCATCTTTTATTTCAATTTTTGTGAGTCTTATAGCATTTATAAGAGCGACCTAAAGAAGTTGAGGGCATAAGTAGAGGAGGAATAAAAGGAAAAAGAGAAGAGAGAGAAAAAAAAGGTGACAATTGATGAAAAAAACGAAGGTCGTGGTGAACTTCTGCAGCAAAAGGTGAACACTGATGTTCGAGGCAAGTGCAATGGTGTTAGAAGCACAGTGGTATCAAAGGCAAGCCCAACAGTACTAGAAGCAAACATGGTGGCCCCAAAGACGAGCATATTAGTGCCAAAAGATATTATGCAGCAGAAAATAGTAATATGAATAGATTCTCTGAAATTATCTCTTCCCAATCCCTTATATTGTAGTTAGATCCCTTACTAACCTTCTCCATTGGACTTCTTGATGAATAAGAATGTAACTTAACCTTTGAAACTAGCAATTTAAAGTTAACCAAGGGTATTATAACTATATCATGTAGCAACAAAAACGTTGCACTCCATATGCCTTTCAACACAAGATAACGCGTGTAGCAATGAATACAAACAATAATTAATCCGCGTGGATTGCAATATAGAACACTTGAATAAAAAGAGATGAGAATTCTACATTCAAATGATGAGTTTCCAAAATTTTAAGTTTTATGATTCTGATTATTGTGAGAAATGTGGGTATAAAAAGCAAAGAGAGGCCAATTTTCTGAAGACTGAAAGCGAACCAATTCAACCATGCGCATCCTTTGTGAGAGACAACCACTTCTGAGCCTTGCTTAACCATGGTAGAAGCCTCCCATACCCCATTAGAGACCCAAACTGCATGACACAATCGATTTCAACTTAACTTCGCCCACATAGAACTTGTACGGGAGTGGAACAAAAGCTGGTTAAGTAGAGCCTATTATAAGAATGGATGAACACTTATCAATCCAAACACTTGATCTCTTGAATAAGGGTCCCTACTAATATATTATAAATTCAAATCTTATTTTCACATCTAATGTTGAACTATTTTCCACACTTAAATGTATCTCAAAGTATTTTTAATACAGGATAGCCACTGCTGCACTACATCATCATTGTCGGAAAAAATTGCTAAGGTCAAGACCAATGTTTCCACTCAAGACTTGTAATGAGCAAGAAAAGAATGATTAATTGATTTCATTAACACTTGCAGATAATTTTGTTTGGAAGTAAACTAATCATTAAACATATCTTAACATGAGTTAATCTGCAAAAAATAGCATTTTCAAAATTCATCTCAACGAGTTCAAGATTAACCATGAGTTCAGAGATTAGGCAATTGACAAAAACAAGTTAATGTCATTAATCATTGCAAAAACAATAAATTATTAACATACTACTAGGCATGCTATATGGAACAAAATATTTACTACAAGAAAGCACAAAAATTTGCAAAAGTTTGATAAAGATGGATTCAAAACACAAACGGTTCTACAAGAGCTACTTACACTAGAACAGGTGTACACAAGCATGGTCATCCAATTCCATTCATCTGGC